GATTGCAGCGTTCGCAGCGAGTTGTTGTGGTCGCGTTTCCTGTCAAAGAAACACAATCCTGTTCGACCTCCTGACATTCCTCGCAAGCCTAGAGGCGAATTTAGAGACGGTAAGTAACAAGTAAGGGAGGAACATACTGTATCTGCGGATTGTATACGCCACTGCTTCCGTTGTTCGGGTGTCCCCTGGATTCTGTTGTAAATTTTTCTGAACTCTTCCTTGATCTCTTTGCTGAATCCACTGCCAGACGTCTCTTTTCCTTTCGAGGGTGCCATGAGTTGGAGAACGAGTTTGAGTGTGCAGTTAGACAATGAAGTGCGAGTTCAACAGAAGGAGATTGACTCCGTTGAGCCTTGACTCGCGTTCTTCACACGATCACAAGTTTAGTGGCGCGGAGTTCGGATATATCGGACCCAGGGCCAAAACTCCGATATGTTTGTCGTAACAAACAAACACGCCAAGTCATCGCCCTCATCGGCGTTGGACTCAAACCACAACCCACAGACCCAGGACGACATGCCGAGCGACCATCCTCAATCTCTCTCTCTCTCTCGCCCTACTCTTTGATCTCCCTATCTCTCTCTTCGACTTTCACTCGCGTACCTTACGGTTTGTGTAATATCCGTGAACAAACTTTTGGGCCAACCTTTCTGGCCGACTCGTCAAAACAGATGAATCTCAAATCCTTCCATTCTGTTATTGCGCTTTAAACATGTACGCAGTAAAAAGCATACATTTTAAAGCTAAGAGAGTACAAAACGCACCGGCGGGAGTCGAACTTAGGACTTAATAAGTACAAGTTTGACCGACGGTATAACCAGTTCACTAGGAGGGCTTGAGAGAAGAGACTTAGACGTGGTAAAACATGCCCGACGGCCTATCTTGAGTTAACATGCCTAGCAACGATAATAAGATTTGACCGAAGGGTACACAACGTCTATCTAGTATAGGGAACGCTACTTAGAAGGATTCGTTGCTAAAGTTAATAGAAGCATCGTAAGGACTAAGTTCGAGACCTGACATATTAGGGCTACTAGCTGCCTCCAACGGCGGTGAAGTATAAGGTCTAGTCATACGCTCAATAGCGTCGGCGGGATTAAAGAAGAACATCCGGACTGGAACTGCTTCACGAGGAGTAAGCACGGGAATGGCGTTGAATACAGCATCCACCCAAGCTCTTGGAGCACCAGGAATAAGAGCAGTAGAAACGGAAAGGACTCCAATCTCTGCGATGGCCTGAGCATATGGTCCTATCTGAGCGTCGAGTATGTCGCGAAAGTTGGATTCGTCGGTTTGGGGAGCGAGGTATAGGAAGTCTTGTAGAGGATTGAGGCGCATAGCGGTGTTGCGTAGGAAGGGGTCTTCTTGACTACAAAGAATGTAGAACTGAAGGAACAAGGCGAAATAAGCCTCTTGATTTCCAGTGCAAAGTTCGTCGAGTTGTTTAGCACGATGAGAGAGACCCATTGGGTGTCAAGAACTGGACTAGGTCTGAAGCCCCTCAGGCCATCTTCTAGGTCAGGAAGTCGAAGTAGAATTAAGAGACAGTGAGCAGGACAATTGCTACACAGTACATGCTGGGTACAGGCAATGTGAGACGAAGTTGTCAGACTAGGGAATCTATCTACAGGTGTCCATGAGTATATATGTCAAGGTACAGCATACTGAGTCATGGGAGCGAATCCTAATAAGGTATAATGAAAGAACATTGTAGAACATCAAAGAATATCAAAGGAGTCAGGTAGAAACTGATGGAACAATCAAGGGATGTCAAGTACAGCAATATCATGATGGGAATCAGATGGAATGATGAACACAAGGTATGGAATGATCCGGAATGGGCGGGAACATCAGGGAAGCCATAATGCGATACTGGGGACATGGAATGAAGTGGAATCAAA